ATGTGTCTGTCTTGGCTGGCACTAGTTGCGTGTTAGTGGCCCTTCGGTCCACAGCTGCTATATGCCATCCGGTGTTATTAATCGTTTCCGAGTCCTTATTACATTGGCTTTCCAAACATCAGAGCATTTTTCTGCTCACAAAGAACAGCTGGATGCCCCTAACTTATGATGTAGTAAAGTGTAGTCATGTAGAGTTCCTGAAATAATTTAAAAGAATAAAAGATTTAGGTGTCATTGCATGTGCTTTTAATTAAATTCAGCAAAAAACAGAGGTTTGGGTGCAAACTGACCATATTCTGGCTCTGGCTTTCAGAGCAAAGAGGAAATCAATAAAATGATTTTCTAAGGAAGTGGCCTTGCATTGGGTTAGTTGTTGTCCTGAAAGGAGACAAGATGGGGAACAAAATAACAAATAATTGTAATTACTGTAATATACATTTCCACACTGCCTTTTCAATTTGAACAATTACAAATCCTCTGTGATCTTTTGCTTTAATCCAGACCTTTTGAAGATGTGCTTTGAGGATCGCTGACTTTCAGCCGGCACTAGCTTGAGTTGGCGAGGGACGGGAGAAGGCAGTGTTGTGGCGGCCAGTACTTTATGTAATCCAGAAACGTACATCAAACCATTTAGTGAGTGAGGTTGTGTCTGAACATTAACAGCAAAGTCATGACATGTTTAAAATGGTCCTTAATGTTAAAAACCCATCAGTGAAAAGCTCAGTTTGAAAAAAGTTGCAATAAATGAGCTGAGTAACTCTCAGGTGCCTTCCTGTTGTTATAATTCTACAATTCTTAGAATGGAGTTTTTAAAACATTTGCATCTGTAAATTCAGTATATTTCAGTATAAACTTGATGGGAACATGAGGGACGAAATTTAACAAAAAGCAAAACCAAATTTTAATTTGGAGATCACTCACTTTACATTTCACAGAACTAAATCTGTTAGAAAACACATTGAAACCATTTTTGATTTATATCTGCTTGCCCTGTGCCTTGCAGAAATATGAATCCTTCTTTGACATTTTTTATATATTACATTCTAATTTATACTCCAATGATCGCGACTAGGATTTTAATGTGACATATAACCATAAGCAAAAGCATATTATGTTAAATGAACAGGAAGGTAGACATGGCTTTAAAATAATTTTATTATTATGGCATTTAAAATATTGTGTTCATATATATCTACATCTTCAACTAGTTTTAAATCAATATATAATAACTAAATTTATGAAAATATCTTATGAAGGTTGAAAGGTTGCTTACTGTTGGTTTAAAATATGTATCATATCTGTGACGCCACTGTCACTCTGGCTTTCTGACCAGACAAGCTGACAGAAATTTGAACAAGGCTGGAAAACTCAAGGTGGATGGGCTGGCAGTGTTTGTGAATGACAAATATTAAAATACTGAATCTGTTTCTGTGAAATTTCGCCTCTGCGGCCCTGATATTGAACTGATGACTGTTGGTTTTCATGTATTTCATTTACCCAGGGAGTACACAGATGTTGTTTCAGCAACTGTTTACATTCCAGCCTTTGCTGCTGCTGACACTGTGAGTGAGGCATTATCACTTGTTGTTTCTAGGCTACACACAACAACAAAAAAAGCATTTGTGGAAATAAAAGACTTCAATCACACCCTACTCTCTGCTACCTTTCCAATGTTCCAACAGTTTGTCAGCTGCTGTACCAGAGAAAACAAAACTTTGGACTTATTCTAGGCTAAAGTAAATGCACTATACATCTATACAATAGCACTTGCATTTTACAAAACTGCAATGGAAACACTTTTTTTCACATCACATCACAAGTGATCCGAAGGAGGAGGAGATTGGAAGTAGTTGGATGATAATGGTGCCCTCTAGATCCATGGCTGAAATTGTATATTTCATGTGTTTATAGCCACTCTTGTTGTTTTCAGTTATTGCATAAACAACTGTATTCATGTGCAATTCTAATTGTATTCTATTATGCTGCACACATTTGTAATGGAAAAAACTGCTAGTAAGGCCCTATCTTTGGAAATCTAAGAATGAAAGTGTGGTTACAGGAAGCTGAAGAAACCCTGCAAGGTTGTTTTGAGGCTACACACTGGGATGCAAAGCATTAACCTCAATAAGAGAACATTAAAGCATGAATTGAGTGTGTTACTCATCACATAAGCTTATTTCTACATAACATTAGAACAGAGACATGCTTCCCAAATAATAAACCCAGTATCCTTCAAATCACCAGCGATCTAAAGAAACTGCTCAACAAAAGAAAAAAAGAGCCTTCTGGAAGGTAGACATGGAATGATTGAGTATACAGAAACAACCTAAGGTCAAGATAAAAGAAAGTAAGAGGGCAAACAGGAAGAAGCTGGAAAGGAAGTTGCGGTGGTAAAAAATGTGTGTTCAGGGCTGAAGGAGGTCACAGGCTTCAAGCAGAAGGAGAATCAGACATATTGAAGTCTGGGCAGGGCCAATGAACTACTACCATTATTCAATAGGATTAGTTTGGGAACAACCTCAACATCCATCTCTCCTACCAACCACAGTCAAACTGATATCCCGCCATCCTTTGACTCCAGGCTTCCCTCTCAAACCTCAAATATGACATTTTACACCTCTGTCATTGACCCTCCAGATGGTGTCGGCACCGGAGTCCTGAAGACCTGTGTAGAGAAGCTCCGTAGGATTCTACAAAACTTATTCAACCTTAGGAAAGTTTTAGCAACGTCAAAGACAGCCCTAATATCTATATAACAGTGGCAAGAGGTGTAAACAAGCTGCAACACATAAATGTGCTGCAAACACAAACAATACCCAAAAACAAGTTAGGAAAAATACTCATATTGGACCGGAACCTCAGTAAAACATAAACAGGATGATAATATTAAGACAGATAAAGTGCTTAAAAAGGCTTAAGGGAAATTTACCTTTTTTTTCTTTCCTCCAAATGTACCGTACACAGACATTACCATTGTCGTACAGAGAGAAAGTTACAGCATTTTTTCAATTAACAGACACACGGTCGCAAAGCTCTTATAGTCCTTAGTAGTTCCAAACATCCGAGGACTATTGGTCAGTTTAAGTGGCTTCTGGCGGGACAAATCATAAAAAATAATATATATTTATATCTATGGTCTCATTACATATATGTTTATAGTCAACTCCCACTAGGTACTTAGACGCATTGTTAATTGTTAATATTGTTGATTGTATATACCGAGATCCTTATCTTATTTTATTCTATCCTAATTATATTTCTATGTCATATTTTACACTGTATATATGGGAAGGGTGTAATTTTACTGTGTGGTTTGTAATTTTATTTATAATAATCTTTGTTATTACATTTCATTTTCCTCTATTGTACTTTCAATCTTATTTTTCTCTCTTCTGTAAACTGTTGCACTGCAAGAGAAGAATTTACTGCAAAGGATTAATTAAGTAATTTTAATTTTTTTTTCTAGTGGTTTCTAGAGTGCTTCTGGTATACAAACCTAGTGTACAGCCTTTCTTAACTTGCAGTTGTTGTTGCTAGTTGAAGCATTTTTAGTTGTATTTATTTTGTATGTTAGCTTCGTGTTTGTGCTGTTTTTACCGGTGAAGATTAACTTTTGCTTCTCTATATTTTCTGTCATTGCAGAATTTCTCTTTTACATATTTTTTGCCCTTTGTATGTGTTTTGTGATTTTTGTATGATGACCTTAAATATGTGTTTGCTAGCCTTATTTTGACATTTCCAGTCCTTTTTGTATTTGCTTAACATTTGCACTTCTTGGCAACTAATCTATATATGTACAGTTAAGATGTACAGAAATTAAAATAGATGCATGCATGTATAAATGCACTAACATTTCAAATTCTATAAAATTCAATGATCTTTTACCCAAAATTAAACTCAAATCACCCAAAGCACAACAGAAACATGCCTAAACAGGACCATCTACTGAAAGGCTGGGCAAGCATTCATTAGACAAGATATTTACAGTTACCATGGTAACCATTCTAACTGTGGAGGAGCTGCTGAAATCTACAAAAATCTAAATAGTTATTGTGAAGATTACCATCGTTAACATGAGATAAAATATTTAAAGAAACTTTTATTTATTAGAAGTTCATTTAAATCTAAATCTACCAGGTGTATTTAAATAATTTTGGGCTTATCATTATGAAAGATTTAAAATTGTGAATATTGTTCTGCAGAAATTATTATAAAGCTCACTGATTTATGTAAAGGATACTGGAAAGAAAATCTGACTTTTTTATGCTTTCAAGTCCCAATAGTTAAGTGGTCGGCAAAAGTAGAAGTAGTGCAGTGGTATGATTGATGGCATACTTCACATTGTACTTTTCACAATTTCAAGGGCCTTTTATATAACTCGATAAAAGAGTTGACCTAAATCGCCCACTTTCTGTCAACTATCTTTGTGATCAGCTCTAAATGGGAAGATTATGTACAGATTCACCTATAATATTCAGCCTTTTGCTCAGTTTTTCAGCATTGGTGGAGCAGTTTAAAATCTTATCAGATGCCATATGGAGAATGAGATAAAATCCATCCTTTTTCATGCGCATTTTTAACTCAGGCTTTCATCTAAGGTGCTTTGTTATCATAGAATAGCTCAATAAAGCCTCAAGCAGTCTTTAGCCAAGCTTTTACCAGACACAGCCTTGGGTTGTGTTCTTTTCTGTCCCTCTCTCTGGACTGAAGCCTCCCAATTGTCCAAAATTTCTGCCTGCCAAAAGGTAGGCAAAAATAAGGTTGAGTTTTTATGATTCCCTATCTTGTAAAATGTGTACAACGTGTATCCCTCTCTCCATGGGAAGAGCAAAACTGTACTGTGTGCATACTGATGGAGCTTCATAGAAGTTTCTGAGCCCTGGTGGTTAATTGAAATTTTGGTTAGCTGTAATTGTCACTGATTACATCAGACTGAAGAGGGGGACTTGAGTCATATTCCACTCCACGCAGTCCTTCACAAACAATTCTTTCATTTGCAGGTATCCCTTCCCAACTGTATTCAGCAGCTGCAGCAAGAAGGATCTGATGGCGAGTTTTGAAAAGGGAGTTGGCATGTGCCTGTTTAACATGCCAGAACTCAAAGTGCTCTACGGTGGGCAGAAATGCGGCAACGGCTATGTTGAGGAGGGAGAGGAGTGCGACTGTGGAGAAGTAGAGGTGAGGGTCACAATAAAGATATCTTGCATTCATAATTCGCATAATGGCTTAACAAACTTTAATGAAACACTAGAAGGTGGTTGGAACCATGTCAGGAACAAGCAAAGCCCTAAGTCAAAACTGTTTAAGATCACTTTTAATAAAAACACATTCTATAAAAATATGAGTGGGAATTTATTCAGTCTGTGTGCTGAGCTGCCTGTGATGGATATCATAACAGAAACTACACCCGACAGCTTCACCCTGTAATAATTGCAGTAGATCTACATTAGCATGCACTTATGCTGGTAAAGATTCTCAGTCATCCAGGTCATAGTCATTCCAAAAAAGTAAAAAAGCAATCCAAAAGACACGCAGCAGAACATAACATGTTCGCAAAAATATTGTCATCCCATATGTTGCTGGAGTCTCTGAAAAACTCAAGAGGATTTTCTCCAAACACAAAATCCCAGTACATTTCAAACAAAACTAGTGCATCCTAAGGACAAAACCCCCAGACCTAATATGAGCGGAGTGGTGCATGCAGTTCAGTGCAGTGAGGAATGCTCTGATCTTTACAGGTGCTGGTCATAAAATTAGAATATCATGAAAAAGTAGATTGATTTCAGTAATTCCATTTAAAAAGTGAAACTTGTATATTATATTCATACATTACATACAAACTCATATATTTCAGATGTTTATTTTGTTTAATTTTGATGATTACAAATGACAACAAATGAAAATCTCAAATTCATCATATCAGAAAATTAGAATATTGTGAAAAGGTTCAAAATTGATGGCCCCTGGTGCCACACTCTAATCAGCTAATTAACTCAAACCACCTGCAAAAGCCTTTAAATGGTCTTTCAGTCTAGTTCTATAGGCTACACAATCATGGGGAAGACTGCTGACTTGACAGTTGTCCAAAAGACGACCATCGACACCTTGCACAAGGAGAGCAAGACACAAAAGGTCATCGCTAAAGAGGCTGGCTGTTCACAGAGCTCAGTGTCCAAGTACATTAATAGAGAGGCGAAGGGAAGGAAAAGATGTGGTCGAAAAAAGTGTACAAGCAAGAGAGATAACCGCACCCTGGAGAGAATTGTGAAACAAAACCCATTCAAAAATGTGGGGGAGATTCACAAAGAGTGGACTGCAGCTGGAGTGAGTGCTTCAAGAACCACCACACACAGACGTATGAAAGACATGGGTTTCTGCTGTCGCATTCCTTGTGTCAAGCCACTCTTGAACCACAGACAGCGTCAGAAGCGTCTTGCCTGGGCTAAAGAGAAACAGGACTGGACTGCTGGTGAGTGGTCCAAAGTCATGTTCTCTGATGAAAGTAAATTTTGCATTTCCTTTGGAAATCAAGGTCCCAGAGTCTGGAGGAAAAGAAGAGAGGCACTTCATCCACGTTGCTTGAAGTCCAGTGTAAAGTTTCCACAGTCAGTGATGGTTTGGGGTGCCATGTCATCTGCTGGTGTTGGTCCATTGTGTTTTCTGAGGTCCAGGGTCAACGCAGCCACATACCAGGAAGTTTTAGAGCACTTCATGCTTCCTGCAGCTGACCAACTTTTTGGAGATGCAGATTTCATTTTCCAACAGGACTTGGCACCTGCACACAGTGCCAAAGCTACCAGTACCTGGTTGAAGGACCATGGTATCCCTGTTCTTAATTGGCCAGCAAACTCTCCTGACCTTAACCCCATAGAAAATCTATGGGGTATTGTGAAGAAGAAGATGCAATACACCAGACCCAACAATTCAGAAGAGCTAAAAGCCACTATTAGAGCAACCTGGGCTATCATAACACCTGAGCAGTGCCACAGACTGATCGACTCCATGCCACGCCGCATTGCTGCAGTAATACAGGCCAAAGGAGGCCCAACTAAATACTGAGTGCTGTACATGCTCATACTTTTCATGTTCATACTTTTCAGTTGGCCAACATTTCTATAAATCCTTTGTTTTTATTGGTCTTCAGTAATATTCTAATTTTCTGATATGATGAATTTGAGATTTTCATTTGTTGTCATTTGTAATCATCAAAATTAAACAAAATAAACATCTGAAATATATGAGTTTGTATGTAATGTATGAATATAATATACAAGTTTCACTTTTTAAATGGAATTACTGAAATCAATCTACTTTTTCATGATATTCTAATTTTATGACCAGCACCTGTATATTGGAGAAACCAAACAACTTCTCCACAGATGCATGACCCAACACAAAAGAGCAAGCTCCTTGGGACAAGACTCTGCCCTCCATCTACACCTTATGGACAAAGGACATTCTTTTGAGGACCCGAATGTTCACATTTTGTTCAAAGAAGACAGGTGGTTTGAGAGTGGCGTGGAGGAAGCCATCTGTGTTACGAAAGAAAAACCAACCTTAAACAGAGGGGGTGGACTCAGATTTCAGCTTTTAAAAGTTTACAATGCTGCAATTGAGTTGATCCCTTCCCACTGTCATCTTCATCCCAACCTCTTTGCAGGGGAGTAGAAGACCTCGCCAATTCCGCCAGGCCAACAATTCCCTTCAACGACACCCCTTTCAGAGACATAGACAGGCATCGGGCATTGCAGGCTAACAAAAGAATCCAAAAAAATACCTTTTCAAAGGGGTGGACCTGTTCGTTTATTTCAATTTGCATGTTTTCTAAAGGCTTTGTTGGGCTACTGTATAAGAGCCTCAAACTCAACGCTATTTCTAACATTTTGAATTGAAAAAGCTTCCTGGATGGGAAGCTAAAAGTCGTGGATTGTTTTTTATCTTTTTTGGAAGCGGGCACATATGTCTTTTGCTAAATGTTGCAGCTGCATGAAACAAAAAAAGTTTGCTTTAATAGTTGGTAATTATATCTTCAGCCCAGTGCTCTCTCTACATCGAGTTAAGTTATGTTTTTCGTCATGCATAAGTGGAACTTTACCCAGTATAAAATCCTAACTCTGTTTAATAAAAAGTTTTAAAAATGCCTCTGAAATGAGCAGTATGCAAGACACACGGGTCAAGTGTGGGGATGAGCGGAGAGGGTTAAACAGGGGTGTGGTCAGAATGAGGGAAAGCGGCGCTGTGCTTTAAATAAATAAATCTAAGTATCTCAATTCTGAACAATAGGTGATCACTTGAAAAGGTGATCAGTGCTCACAGGGCTCAAAATGCCAGTTCTGGAAAACTATCACCTTGGAGATTTATAACTATGGTCGAGGTAAATCAAATGCACCATTATGTTCAAACATGAAGCACTGACTTCCTCTTAACATAACAGCAGACAGATGGCATTCATATTCATTAATGAGTGCCACGGATGGGGATCCGCATCCAGTTATTTTGTCCCGAGCCCAGCCAAGGCTGTCCGGATATATGCAATCAATAAAACATTTCAATAGACAATCAGATATATTTACCTATGGTAGGAGGTCAGAATTACAAGAAAAATGTAAAGTGAACATCTACTTTGAGCAGTCAGACATGTAGGAGGCATTGTGATGGTCCAGTGATGGTACATTTTCCCTTAAGTACCGGATCAACTTGAACCCTTTAGTTTGCTCTCTACCAGCAAATCATAGAGGAAAATGTCAGGTCACCAGTTTGCAATCTTAAGAATGGTTGAGCTGTTGAGCAGAATGGTAATCCCAAATACACAAACATTTCCATCTCCTATTGGCTCAGTGTCTGGCATTGAACGTGGTTGAATGAAGCTAGGTTATCTTCATAGGTGTGTAAAATCGTAATTGGCAGCTTTGTTTGTGTCAAGGTGGAACTTTTTCGAGAAGGATTGTGTTAATTTGGATTTGCCTATTTACCATAATGAAATACATTTTCAACTACCTTTATAAATTTATTCTGGGTTTTTTTTTTTTTGGTCTCATTGAATTTTTGTGATGGTAGTTTGAAACCTTTAAGTGTGAAAAGGTTTTTAAAAAAATGAAGTGGGAATAAAGAGTGTGAGGTTTTTGCTGTCTATAATTGATCCCGCATCACTTAGAGGGCAGATTATGAAAGCGTGACTAAACTCGGCTCTCCTGAACTAGTAGCTGTTTTAAACTGCAAACACGTTTTTCAGAAGGCTAGGTTAAAGATAGGAATGGAAATGTATTTTGAAATGGATCTTCCTTTGCACCCATTTAATAATGGTTGCAAATAATGCTAACTATTGCAGCTGCTGGAAGGAAACAAATAATACAATTAGCATAAGCAGAAATATAAAGAAAACATCAATTATGTTTTGGAAGGATGTTATGAATTATGTAACCGCCCGAATGAAAGAAGGCCTCAGTGTTTGAGGTTTATTTCTATCTATATTTTTCTAGGCCGTTTGGACTTCAGCCAAGGTTGAGCTGAAAGTGTCCTTGTCTTTCAAAACAAAGAACCAAAACCTCAGTGTCTTTAGACAAATGCAACATCCAAACTCTGTCAAGAGCGTTGCGCCAAAATAAGGCCAGAGCTGATGGATCAGGCAGCACCTCGCTAACTATTAAAAACCCTCATTATAAAACCTTGGTTATTTTTCTCACAATCAGACTCCTCTGCCTCTTTTGGCCTCGGGGACCCTGGGAGAGGCCCCCTTTTATGGTTTGTTCAGCCTGAATGGAGATCTGGAAGCTCCATCATGTTCATATTGTCCCCTGCCAGCTTCATCTATCCAGTTCTTTCTGACTCTTATGGCACTCACATGAACACTTCACTTAGACTATAATAGCAAAAGGGAAATAGCTGGTCCTCTGGGGTCTAGTCAACTGGCCTCTGGGTGAGATCATCCAATTTAGCTCAGAATTATTCCTACTCCTGCCAAATTTTGATTTAAAGTGAATTTTACTGACCAATAACCTTCCTTTGACTGGAAATTACATAAACATATGACATTGAAGGCTAAGATGTAGCATTGCAATATTTGGAATGATTACAGATTTCTATTCTCTCTCAGGAATTAATAGCAGATTAGATTTGGTATCATGACATTCTCTAACAATCTGTGTTTTTTTTCTCCTCGAGGTTCCTTCCGTTTTACTCTTTGATTACAATCTGTATGTTTCTTAAATTTTAGAATAATATTTTTTTTATATTAAATTCAGAACTTAAAATTAAATTAGATTTGGTTTTGTACTTTATGGACCACTCCAAGTTATGGATATTGCTCTCTGTTGACTCACGATTTTATCTGAGTTTAACATTTGGTCAAATTTAAAGACTAGGTCAACTGAGATATATATATATATATATATATATATATATATATATATATATATATATATATATATATATATATATATATATATATATATATATATATATATATATATATATATGTTGTCAAATTTCAGAGACCTCTATTCCTTTACAAAAGATGGTCATCTCTTCACTCCTGTATGTTTGTTTGGTATGATTGAAATGCATAACAAGGATGCAAAAATGCTGATTTCAAATGTTAATTCTATCAACTATTAGTGGCACGTTCTTTTGTCAAAAGAATGGGGTTCGAATCCGGCCTGTGGTCCTTTCCTGCATGTCTCTCCCCCTCTCTCATACCCCCAGCCTAATGTCCATAAAGACGAGTGTGATTAAAAATAAAAGAAAAACTAAAAATAAAAAACATTGCTGATTATCTCTGCATTTTTGCCAATTTGATACATCTTGATATTTCTGAAATATTAAAAATACATAAGCATTAGACTTAAATTATACTATTCTGTCAATTATTCAAGTGATTCAGTGTTTAGAGTTGACAATGCGATTTAAAGCAGAGGGAGTGAGAAGCATAGAAAACAAGTTTTATTTGAAAGAAATGAATCTAGCTGATGAAAATAGTTCAAATATGTGCATTTAGATGCATGTCTGAAAATAAACCCACTCTCTCCAGGGCAATATGTGTACATAAAAATATATCTTCTTAAAATGGAAAAGTTTAGATATAATAGAATATGTATTTTATTGCCATTTATCGCTTTGATTATAATGTTATGCCATTAAATGCTGTATTTTTACGTCATTTAATCAAATAACTATCAGACTTTCATGTGGGTCAAACTATCTTTTGAACTTAAAACAATTGTAATCTGTTCAAACCAGTTTGCAATGCTAATCATTTATAAGATTGTAAGATGCTAATCTCTCAATCCTTGTATAGAGCAAGGACTATATAGTGGACTTTATTGTGAACTCAGTTAACTGACCATTAGGAGAGATAATCACTACTTTTCGCTCCCCATTGTTCACGTGACTCCGCCTCTCGGCATGGTGCCTGCACCATCTTTGTTATTTTTTTCAGCTGTGGGGTAGTGACAGCCCTTGGCGACAGCGGGCCGTTGTGGCAGCAAATCCATGATGTTTTGCAAGGAGAGCTCTCCTCCCAAAGCATTATCTGTTTGTCTAGTGACCATAGATGATCACTACTTTTCAAGGTGCATTGTGGGAAATTTTAGGGCCATTACTTTTTCATCCACTGTGACTACCCGTTCCGTCCCGGAAGCAAGATCTGTACCAGCAGGTCCTTTGCGCATAAACAACCAGATATACTTCTGCGCCCTTGATTTTAATTAGTAAAAAATACCTAAATTACATTTTTCCCTCCTTAAAAATGGTGAGCGTACAAAACTATAATGTGTGATATGTTAATAATATATACCCTGATAATAATATATACCCTAAAACTCTGTTTTATCATTTATCTGTACAGGAAATGGGATCCTACAGTACGCTACTTCCGGGAGCTAACTTTTTCGGCTTTGGATTTAAACATAAATCTAGTCTTTTTGAGTTTTATTTTTTCCTTTCGTGTTAACATTATGGTATATGGTGCGTAATCTAAAGAAAGAAATAACAAAAAAAATGCAGATAAACATGGTTTAATCATAATTTGCTGGACTACTCTGAGCATGATGATGACATCAGACAACCTGTTTAATGGAGAAAATGTAAAAAGCATCAAAATTGTCTCCGAAAAGTTATCAAAAATGTTTTAAAGATGTGTATTAGCTTTCTTTATTGATTTAGGGATAGAAATATTTACTTTTAGTACCATGATTTTTATGATGACTTGGATAAATATCTGCTTGTACATGCGCAAATGAGGCGATGGTACAGATTGTGCTTCCGGCACGTTTCAGGTTGTGACATCCACTAGATGTGCAGACTTAGACTTAGACTTAGAAAGATTTTATTTGTAATTTTGTTTACACAAGTGTAAAAAGACCCTCATCTAAATTGGCATAACCACTATATGCCTTTTATAGTGATTAGGGCTGACATTCAGACACAACTGAAATTACTCTTTTTAAAAGACTCTTCGGTCATATGTAAATTGAATGTAATAAGCATATCAGGTAACACATGCTATATTACTGTTTCAACCCTTATTTAAATTACCGTTTTCTTACTTTATTAAAATACCTTTTAAGTGTTGGGTTAGCGATCGTGTAGTAACTGTTAGCTTCTGTTGACACAATAGTAAAACATGTTTGTTTTCCATCTCACATATCTTCTAAGTATGCCATAAATTAAAATGCTGCTCTTAACTGACCAGAGCAACTTTTACCACATATTTTCTTTTCCTCCAATATGGCTGAACCTCAAACAATAATCTGTTACACCTGTTTTTTACACTTGGCTTTTCTCTTTTTTTAAAGCCCTTTTAAAGCTGTCAATTCTTCAAGATACTAGAGTGTTAAGATGGGTGCTCTTTGTTTTACCTGTCAGTTTTGGTGGCGTTTTACGCTGAGATGAAATTACACACAGCTGGCTTCTGTTTTCTAATTAGGTGACCTCTAAAGGAAGATCGTTTAGGCTGCTGGATTTAAGCTAGACAGTTTGGAGTGGATAGGGCTGAATATTAAGAGAAGTAAGAACAATTGAAAGCAATTTAGGATTTTCCCTCTTTAGTTACTTTGCCTATCATAAAACAATTAAATAAGTACATTGAGGTTTGTGACTACTCTGACAAAATGTGAAAATGTTCAAGGAGCATGAATAGTTTCGCATTAATTAAGTGAATTCTGTCATCCATCTGCATTAACATGCAGTTAGGTACTGATTGGTGCTGTGTATGGGTCACAATAACCCCAACTTGGAACAGATGTTCCTCCTCAGTGCAATAAAAAATGTAACATGAAGTATAGGAGATTTGATAGAGATCTACTTCCCTTTACCCTGCAGAAACAAATGTATGTATGTTTTGTCTTGATTACATTTTCTGTAAAAAAAAAAAAAAAAAAAAGTAACTTTTCCGTGACTTTTTTGTGATTTTTTTTTTTTTTTTCAGTCTATGCAGTTAATACGCATTAATGTTTAATGGGAAATATACTTTTTCACTCAAATAAATCATTTACTCTTTTTTGTGATACCATTACAGCTGTCTGCACGTATTACTAATTGGTTTAAGGCAGACTGTCTCTTTCTCTTCTCCTGTGAAGTCCATCTCTAAGTTCGCAATTTCTTAGTTATTTCACGTAATTTTAAAACAAGCTTTCATTTTTACATGCATAATAAAATATTGGTTGTTTTAGTGAAAAAAATTGGTTTTTTAAATGTATTTTTGTACACTTTTTTATGATTGTTTTCTTGCAGTATATGGTTAATACTATAAGAGATGAAATTTAAATTAATGAACCAGAAAAGGTGGTTTTCTATCTCTGCCTATTTTATTTTATTGCCTTTGCACTACCTACTTATATTACGGTAACCTTTTTTAATTTTTTTTTTGCTTTTTTAATTTTATTTACAGGAATGCATGAATCCTTGCTGCAATGCCACTACCTGCACTTTAAAAGGTGATGCTGTCTGTGCACATGGACACTGCTGCCAGGACTGCCAGGTAATTGTGTTCGGATTGAAGATATGTTCCAAAACATAATGCCAAGCATTACTTTATTCTTATTTATTTAAGCTGTATATCATTGTGCTTGTTTTCTGCCTTTGTGTGCAGCTGAAACCAGCAGGAACACCATGCCGTGAACCCAGCAACTCCTGTGACCTGCCCGAGTTCTGCACAGGCTCCAGCCCTCACTGCCCTGCCAATGTCTACCTGCACGACGGCCACTCCTGCCACAATGTTGATGGCTATTGTTATAATGGCATTTGCCAGACCCATGAGCAGCAATGTATCACGCTATGGGGCCAAGGTTTGTTTCTAAGGGTTTGTAGAAGGCCTCCGCACTGGCCCAGTTTGATTGTTAAAGGTTCAAACATGGATGCAAGCCTTCAATGGTTTCTCATTGTATCTGTCAGGAGCCAAGCCAGCTCCAGGGATCTGCTTTGAAAGAGTCAACTCAGCAGGGGACCCTTATGGCAACTGTGGCAAGGATTCAAAAGGCTCCTTTGCAAAATGTGAAGCCAGGTGTGAAGCTGACGTTCCTGTAGAAATAAAATCATACCTTCAATTTTTATACACTGCTCAAAAAAATTAAAGGAACACTTTGAAAACACATCAGATCTCAATAAAGAAAAAAATCATGCTGTTTATTTATACTGATATGGACTGGGTGATATGTTAGGAATAAAAGGATGCCACATCATTTGATGGAAATAAAAATTATCAACCTATAGAAGGCTGAATTCAAAGACACCCCAAAAATTAGAGTGAAAAAATGATGCGGCAGACAAGTCCATTTTGCTGAAATTTAATTGCAGCAACTCAAAATTGTACTCAGTAATTTGTATGGACCCCACGTGCGTGTATGCATGCCTGACAACGTCGGGGCATGCTCCTAATGAGACTACGGATGGCGTCCAGGGGTATCTCCTTCCAGATCTGGACCAGGTCATCATTGAGCTCCTGGACAGTCCGAGGTGCAACCTGGCGGCGTCGGATGGATCAAAACATAATGTCCCAGAGGTGTTCTATTGGATTTAGGTCAGGCCAGCATGGGGCCCAATCAATGGTATCAATGGCTTCATCCTCCATTAACTGCCTGCATACTCTTGCAACATGAGGCAGGGCATTGTCGTGCACCAGGAGGAACCCAGGACCCACTGCACCAGCATAGGGTCTGACAGTGGGTGCAAGGATTTCATCCCGATACCTAATGGCATTCAGGTCTGTGCGTCCCTCCATAGATATGCCTCCCCAGCTTCTCCAGACCCTTTCACATCTGTCACATGTACTCAGGGTGAACCTGCTCTCATCTGTGAAAAGCACAGGGTGCCAATGGTGGACTTGCCAATTCCGGTGTTCTGTGGCAAATGCCAATCAGGCTCCACGGTGCTGGGCAGTGAGCACAGGGCCCACTAGCGGACGTTGGGCCCTCAGGCCACCCTCGTGAAGTATGTTTCTGATTGTTTGGTCAGAGACTTTCACACCAGTGACCTGCTGGAGTTAATTTGTAGGGCTCTGGCAGTGCTCCTCCTGCTTCTCCTTGCACAAAGGAGCAGATACCGGTCCTGCTGATGGGTTGTAGACCTTCTACGGCCCTGTCCAGCTCTCCTAGAGTAACTGCCTGTCTCCTGGAATCTCCTCCATGCTCTTGAGAATGTGCAGGGAGACACAGCAAACGTTCAGGCAATGGCATGTATTGATGTGCCATCCTGGAGGAGTTTGACTGCCTGTGCAACCTCTGTAGGGTCCAGGTAGCGCCTAATGCTAACAGTAGTGACAGTGACCCTAGCCAAATGCAAAACTAGTGAAAAAGAGTCAGAAAAGATGAGGAGGGAAAAAAACCTCAGTGGCCTCCACCTGTAAAACCATTCCTGTTTTGATGGTCGTCTCATTGTTGCCCCTCTACTGCACCTGTTGTTAATTTCATTAACACCAAAGCAGCTGAAACTGATTAACAACCCCCTCTGCTACTTACCTCACCAAATCAATATCCCAGAAGTTTAATTAACTTGATGCTATACTCTGATTACAAAGTGTTCCTTTAATATTTTTTGAGTGGTGTATTTATAAGGATTTAGCACTGTGCTGCTTAAAGTGGATAGAGCAAGAAATACCCTGAAACCTTTTGCAAGATTTAGTAGACTAATAGGAAAATAGTTTTGTTGCATTTATATAAGAGTTTCTTTTTTATTAAGTAAAGTAGCCTATGGTTTACCAAGTATTACATGTGGTGTTCCACAAGATTCTGTGTTATTTCCCAAACTTTTTTTTTTATCATACATATAATAATAGTCTAATACTTAATATTATTTATCTTTGATAAAAAATTAACTTCTAAATGTCATTAAAAACATAATGACCGTTTTATAGAAATTATTTACACAATTAAATCCGCCATCAAGTATAGCAAAGCAAACCTTTTAAAGTGTTTAATAAAATTAGGTCAGTCGTCATTTTTTTTTCTTTTTACTAAAGCTGAATGAAACTCATTTTTTTAGAGTGTTGATTAAATTATTCAATGACCCAAAAGTCCTTAAATATGTCATATCAAACAAGACGAAATTTATGCAAATGTTCGAGGCTAATCCTAATCCCACCTCTTAGATTATATTTTAAATAAAGGTTTTAGTGACATTTTGTTTTTACTACTTATTATGCATGACATTGTGTTGGTCTGTAATGTAAAATTACTCACATTTTAGGGGCATTTTTTTCTTTACATCTTTTGCAGATACTTTTTTTTAAAGACATTCACAGATAACTCTTTAGAAGTGAAATTATCTGAAGGTATTTCTCTCTGTTGTCTGTTTTCCCCCCCTCTTCTTGATTGCCATTGATGTAGAGATGCTAAATGCGGCAAAATCCAGTGTCAAGGAGGAGCTAACCGCCCAGTTATTGGCACAAATGCCGTTTCCATTGAAACAAATATACCCCTTCAGGAAGGTGGAAGGATATTATGCAGAGGTACTCATGTCTACTTGGGCGATGACATGCCGGATCCGGGCCTGGTCCTGACAGGGACAAAGTGCGGAGATGGAATGGTGAGCACTGTGTATGTTAAAGAGGACATTAAACTCACCCTGTTCAGATACACATGACTCTGCATTAAATTATATTAGAATTTTTAAGTTGGTTTAAAGGTGGGGATTTTATCCTCTTCACATCAGTTTTTTTTTGTGGCAAGAAAAAGTATATAAGGAACCCACAGGATTGCTGAAAAGTTTGAGGACCAAATGTTTTTATTAAAGACATTATTTTTAATTAAAACATCATTAAATCTCTTGTTAATTTGAAAAACGATTGGCAAACACTTTAGCGTAATGGAAATAAGAAACAAGTGGGAGCATTTTGACTGAAAGAACTGTGAAACAAGTTGAAAGAAAAACATGAGACCACAAAGTTTCCACCACAATAATTCAGATGGTGGAGTAACACTAATATCTGATATCTATTTTACATGTTGGTAAAATAAGGCTTATATTATCCCAAAGCAATTTGTATGTCAATTTCTAAGTTCACTGGAGTTTTTTTACATTTTCTATTATTTTATTATTTTGGCAGTCGTTATTTACATTCTGTTAAAAGTTTGTCCCACCTCAGTTTGGTTGGCTTTAAAAACATTAGTAAATTAATCCCACTTGTCTTTTTTACACAATAGCCATAGTCTCATATTTGCTTTTATGTATCATCTGCTAATACTAAAAGCGGACATAAACATAGGCTGTGTAGAAAAACACACATTTTTCCTCACTGTTTAACAATAAATTAAACTAACCCTTCCGTTTTTTTTTTTAAGTCAATCAGGTTTACCAAATGTGTATTGCTCTGAAATAAAATGATAATTCTTTTTTTTCTCTACTTTTTACCTAAGACTCTTCACTTCACATTCTAGCTGTAACCTAAAATGATTTGTAGCTTTACGTGAAAACAAATTCCTTACCTATTTGCTGGGAAAAGACCTGGAAAAATAAACGATGATGAAAAGACAGATATTTTTCACTGTGTGCCTTATTGTCATTATGGACTTGCTTAAGTTCACAGACTTAATTGACTACTCATTAGTCACTTCATTTGGCTTCTCCCTGCCTTCATCAGTTCAGTCAGTGGTCACTCCACTGATTCAGCTTCTCCATTTAGTCTAATTTACTTCACTATAAACCTCCTCCCATTTTGAGAAAAGACCCAGACTCGGCTTTTTTTGGTGCCATTTGTCTGTGTGCCAACTGCTGCTCATCCTCACATTTAGCCCGCTTGGAAATGGGCATGATACATTTAAAATTTGGGTACGATGTACTTCCAGTGGCAACGTAATTATATTTAATGCTGTACTGATTTAGAGCTGAGGAGGAAAATAAAAAGAAATGGGAGTTGGATGTGCCTCCTCCCTTTAAAAGATTAAAAGATTTGGACTCTTCTTTTACTGCGTTGCTGTTTGAAACCACGCTGTCAATATTTAATGTCTTTGTCTGCCTCAGATGTGTCTGAATCGTCGGTGCCAGAACGTCAGTGTGTTCAGCGTGCACGAGTGTGCAGCTAAGTGCAGCGGTCGAGGGGTAAGTGAGGCAAATTCTCCGTCCTTTTTTAGCTGCTGTGAAAATGTAAAAGCCATTTTAAATGGATCTAAACCCAGTTTTATTTCCCATTTATTCCTCAAATAAATTTAATAACTGCCCATTGTGCATTTATTAAGGAACAAACAGAGCCCCTGGTAATAAATCACTTGAAATGTTGAAAGGTTCAATCAGTTAGTCCTAATGATCTCATTTATGTTCAGCTCTAAGTACCATTCATCATACGCCCAGGCTGTCATTCTTCTCCTAAACTGAGTTTAGAAATGCTTTGACTAAATTTATTTGGAGCAATGCCATGACACAAAGTTTAACTTTAAGGCAGGTGGGAATAGATTTTTGCTACCTTTTTAAATTCCTTGTTTGACAGTGCTCACAATTGTTTCATACACCTTGAATGTTTCACTTTTCAAAGTTGTGGGTTTTTTGTGATAAACCACCAGAAAAGGAACAGGGACACATTCAGAAGTCATAAGTCCTTAAGTAGAAAGAGACTGGACATCTTCTATTTGTCTTCTATTCAAAATGTGTATTCAGCTCTGGACATGGTTGAAACTAACAGGAATACAAGCTTTTATTGCAATTATCACACTAACCTATAAGTCCACCTCCCTAGTTAAGGTTGTTTTTTAAATATTTTTCCTGTGTATGCCTTCTTTCCCTCCTTTCTTGATTCATCTGTCTCTGTTTAAAATGTCCTCTCTTCTATTCAATTCAAGGGTGTCTCTTTCCCTTGAGCTGTTTGTTTATTTTACATTCCTTCTTTGTCCTGTCCTGCTGTCCAAGTTTCAAGGAGATGCCCAATTCTATTTAATTCAATTCAAAAGATTGTTGTTTTTTTTATCCCAAAGACAAATTAATAAGTAGATTACTACATATATATATATATATATATATATATATATATATATATATATATATATATATATATATATATATACAGCAAAAGGGTTGCGCATACGATTCCCCGCCCGGGATCTTTCCATGGAGTTTGCATGTTATCCCTGTGCATGTGTAGGTTCTCTCCAGGTACTCCGGCTTCCTCCCACAGTCCAAAAACATGACTGTTAGGTTAATTGGCTTCTCTAAATTCTCCTTAGGTGTGAGTGAATTGTTGTTTGACCTGTTTGTCTCCGTGTTACCCTGCGATGGACTGGCGACCTCTCCAGGGTGTACCCCGCCTCTTGCATGTAGACAGCTGGAGATAGGCACCAGCACCCCTCGCGAACCCGCTCGGGATAAAGCGTGTCAGAAAAAGGATATATGGATGGATGGATGAAGATATATATATATATATATATATATATATATATATATATATATATATATATATATATATATATATATATATATATATATATATATATATATATATATATATATATATATATACATACACAGTGGGGCAAAAAAGTATTTAGTCAGCCAACAATAATTTTCCACCATATTTTGAAAATAAATTCTTTAAAAATCAGACAATGTGATTTTCTGGATTTTTTTTTCTCATTTTGTCTCTCAAAGTTGAGGTATATCTATGATGAAAACTACCGGCCTCTCTCATCTTTTTGAGTGGGAGAACTTGCACTATTGGTGGCTGACTAAATACTTTTTTGCACCACTGTATATGAAGAGGAAGGGAAGAACAATAAAAGGAAGAAGGAAAAAGAAAACAAGATAGCACTAAAAGTCTGCTTCTGAGCCTGCAGAAAGAACCAAAAAATAGCACAGTGACAATCAATAATGTAACTAGATGGTCACAGTACTAATTGATAAATGTTTAGTGGCTACAGCAGCTCATTATACAGTAGATTCATGTATCTATCTAACTGTAAGAGCTTGAATCTAAACCCTATGGGGGTATGTGTTATCATCGATCCGAAAGCGCAGTGAGTTAACACCTGCGCTCAAAACCAGTCTGGCATGTGCTCAACTCTGGAAAAACTCTTCTCAACCCACTTTCCTCACACTCAGTTTCCTCTCTGCGCGCACTCTACCTGCTCTTTCCGCACTTCATAGCTGTGCGCTTGGCAGTTTCTGCACTCGCGACTTCATAAATGTATGTAAATGAACCTTACCACCAGCCAATCACGCTCAGCTTTTTTTCATCCAATCAAAGTATTCATTCCAAATACTACATCCGGTTGGATGAAAAACTGACTGGCTAGCTAAAGTGGTAAGTCACCCGTCCTGTGCACAGAAAGCCCGGGTTTGTTTCCCTGCAGGGGGGGAGTGAGCTGCCAGTGTGGGTCCTTAGGCAAGACCCTTTACGCTAATGTCGACGTTGTAAGTCGCTTTGAATAAAAGCGTCTGTTAAGTAGTTAAACACTAAACAGTAAAAAAAAACAAAACACAGTCATGAAATCAAACAACTCTTGCAGTTATGCATTCAGCACTCCTAACCAGTTGATGGACATTAGATAGTACTATGAATATCTTAATTTATCTCAAATAAATGTTAGTAAAACTGTTATTAGATCAGTAACTCATCCTTCCTTGCTTCCTGCTATTGATATGGATTCAACTTTGCTGTTTAAACGGAAAAACAAGGAGGATATTTCAGATTCAGAAAGTATGGTTCAACGATATTTAGATAAAAAATATTATGGATATGTTAACATTTTTACTGATGCTTCACAATATTCAAATATTAGGAATGTTGTTTTGTTTGTATTTCCAGAATTAAATTTTAAACCAGTTAAAAAACTCAGTGATGGAGTTTCTCTTTACACAGGAGAAAAGTTTGGGATCATATTGGCCTTAGAATGGAATGAAGATATCTGTCCATTAAGAAGTTTACTTTGCTCTGATTCTAGTTCAGCCCTGGACCCAACCTGACAGACAAACAGAAATACACATTCACAATAACATGTTCCTATCCTTATGTTCCACCTTCCCTTTATTCACTTTGATCCAACTTGAGCTGTTTCACAAAGATTGGACAAACATTTTAGTTTCTGTGTGTGGAAAACTGATAAAGAGATTGTCCAATAGTCTTAAGGCTGTAATTCATCTGGCTCTGCACATTATTGAATCAGATGACTAGAATCCAATTTCAAGCCACAGTTGCAAACTTTTTCGCTGTGAAAAAAACAAAACAAAAATAAACAGTATGATTTTCCTACTCACTTCTATGTATAATGTTGTGTTTTCCTAAAAAATCCCTGTAACATTTTTTAAAGGTACGGTACAGGCTTCAGTTGTGACAAATTCGTTCCCTTCATTAAACACCCTGAGGGACAAGTTTTGACTCTCCCCTATAATGAAACACCAGTTATTACAGGAGTCACATTTGTTTTCGCAACTCCAGTAAAGAGACATACAGGTTAAGGAATGTTTTACATGCTGGAACAAAAGGATGTGGGTTTCTCTAGGAGAGGGGGCACCCCTGCATGCAAGAGATTAACTCAAGATGTTGATAGAGAGAATACACCTTGCCTGTTTCTTATTAGCCAAGCGGGGAATCCTTCTGGAGTTTCTCGGTGCTGCACTGAGCAGGACAGGAAGATAAGGGGGTGAGACTGTAAAAATATGGTGTGAAGAAATAAAGAGTACTATTTGTCTTGATATCATTGGAACTACATCTGTGTTTCATTTGTTGAACAAATAGAAAGTGTTTGAATACTTTTTTTTTTATTGTTGAATTAAGCTGATGTCAAACGAGCTGACATTTTAGGGCAACTTGAGAGATTGCAAAAGCATTTTTACCATGCTTGAAAAAAAAAATGAAAATCATTATTATTGGTAACTTCAAATACGTTACTGATGTTTGCATCCCATTTATAAATGTCTTGGGTTGGTAGATTTGCACCAATATATCATCAAGGGATCAGATAAGTTCTAATTAGCTGCTCAATCCTTAAAATATATGTTGCATTATATTATTGCATTCATGATTCAGTTTAGAAATAATGTTAATGGTGTTGTTTTTCATTAATGTTCTTTTAAATTCAAAACTACTGCCTATATTCAAAGTATCACCAGCAAAACTCGAATCAGCTCATCCCTACTCTGTGTTATTTATTAGGTAAAGTTTTCTAAGAAGAGTTAGATTGTCAAAACTTACACTTAAAGCCTTCTCTCCAATTGATTTTGTGTTTATTATCTGCAGGTGTGCAACAGCAACAAACACTGTCATTGTGAGGCTCATTGGGCGCCTCCCTTCTGTGACAAGGCAGGTTTTGGAGGAAGTGTGGACAGTGGCCCCATCAGGCTAGCAGGTAATGTAAAGTTCTTGTGTACTTGTGGAGCCAAAACGTTTCCTTCAATAATCCATGATCTATGACACATAGACAGACAGTAAAATACTTCGCATAAGACATCTCTCATTTTAGAGATTTCTAAACAGAGTGTTGTGTACAATTTCCAACTTCCAGATGTGTACATCTAACATCAACCTAAGCATACACAATGTAACAAGTTTACCTTTAAAAGCTTTTATTACCAGTGTTAATAATTATTAAATTATAAGCCCCCATAAATATTTATATTTCTAATATATTCCATTATCTTTAGTTCATGATATTCCCTGATGTGACGTCCCACTGTGCGGAAAATGTAGTTGCTTTGAAGCAAGGTTTTGCTTTTATTTTTAAAATTAAGGCAAAATTATTTCATGGTGTACATGTTAACTGGCCTTTAGCATTACATACCTATTGGGCTATAGAGAATTACTCAGATTTTTTGTATTGTTTTTTTTTTAGAAATAATCAGCACAAACAATTTAATATTTAATCGTTTACAAATAATCTGAGGAAATGCATCCTAACGCCCAAAAACAGTCGGTACCAGTGTTGAAGTGTTTAGGAGAAAATTACTTCCATTCAGGTTTTAATACATTCTATTTTCAACACTGTCTGCAGAAAATACTGTCTCAGCAAAACAGCGAGAATCTAATCTGGTGAAATAATGGCTCGAAATGTTTGACTTGCTGATATTTTCATGTGTGTTTTATGAGCAGACAGCAGGAGTCTTACTGTGGGTCTACTGGTGGCTCTTCTAATGATGCTGGTTGCTGCTCTGATCATCTGCATGAAGAGGAAAACTCTGACTGGCCTTTTGTTCACCAGCAAGAAAAGCCCAATGGAGAAGCTCAGGTTGGGATTAAGACCTTTCATTCCAATGATGGTTGTTATTCTAAAATGTTTAGTAGAAATGGAATATTTTTTAATAATAATATCCAGTGTGCCCTGGATCATCCATCCATCCATCCATCCATCCATCCATCCATCCATCCATCCATCCATCCATCCATCCATCCATCCTCCCTGTCTCGATTTATCCTCTGTTCTTCTTTCTCCTTTTTTCCATCCTTTTTATTTTATATTTCCCCTTTTTGGCTTTTTTGTCTTTCTTCCCTTTCTTCCTTTAAGCTTTTCTTTTCACTCTCTGTAACTTTCTTCTTTTTTTAGCTCCTTCCTCTTTATTTCCTTCCTTCCTTCCTTCCTTCCTTCCTTCCTTCCTTCCTTCCTTCCTTCCTTCCTTCCTTCCTTCCTTCCTTCCTTCCTTCCTTCCTTCCTTCCTTCCTTCCTTCCTTCCTTCCTTCCTTCCTTCCTTCCCCCTGCCTTGTTTGCTTTCTTTTCATACCTCTTTCTTTTCCCTTTCTTCACATATTCTCTCGCTTCCCTCCCTCCCTCTAGCCCTCCTACCTATTTCCCATCAGTTCATCCCTCTAATGCGCATAGGAACCCTGTTTGTTTTAACTGGTAGGACTAATAAAAGAAAGGGCTAAACTGAATCTCTGTGTTTCCTTATTGGCGTGGCAGATCAGAAAGTGCTGCAATCAGTGGACCGTCAGCTCCTAAGCAGCCCCCTTCTTCTCCAACCCGACCAGTCCCACCCTTGCCTCAGAGTGCAACTATCTTTAAGGTGACATCTTCAACTACAAACACACTACAAATAATGTAGAACCAAAGGAAGAATTAGTGCCTCAGTTTTCTACTGGTGTTTCAACTGCTGCAACAAATCATCCTTAGCTGAACTGATGTGTTGTTTGCACACAAACGGCACCTCATTCAAATCCAATTAAATCATCCCACTGAACGCTGACGTACGGAGGAGGCAGTGATAATGGAGTGTGTGGTGAGCGAACGTTGGCTTAGGACACTCAAATGCATTTCTTGTCGTTAGCAGCTGCCTGCTCAGAGAGAAATTAGTTTATCTGCATGTGAAGAATGTTGAGTTGCTTAGCTGACACCTTAATTTTGTTTCAAATAATTGTGAGAGGGAGACCAGGCTTTCTGCTGTAATGACTTATGTGACCACAACTCTGCTTGCCTTGACTGCTCCATTATTGCCCCAATGCTAATAGGAAGTGATTTGATGGATGTAATGGTTGATCAAGAATAAAGCACACAAGTCATTTTTCAATATGAACTTTTATACATAGGGTCAATTTCCTTGCAAAGCTTGGCTGTGCATCTTTTTTAGTTCACTAGAACTGTAAACTAGGATATATTATGAGATTTTTTTGTTAGAGACCAAAACAAAATCTTATTATAAATCTTTTTAACCTTACTAATCTTAAAAGTGTGGCTGCCCTTTTTGTTCAGCCCCTGTTCGTCAATAATCTACAAGATTTGCAAGACTAAAGAAATTTATCCCCATAAATCTTTGCAAAAATATCTTTAACTCAGATTACAGGACAGTTATCTAATCATGTTAAAGATTTAGGTCTTAACTTTTACCTGGCTTTTAACACATTGGTATTTTTGCTAAAGTAGAGAGATATTATAGTGTTTTATAGATATAGAGAGTAGAGAGGTATTCTAGTTTTCTTAAACACATAGTATTTTAGGTCAGTTCCCTTTAGAGCATTTTTCTTCCATGTGTTTGCTCTGCTCCCTGCATTTTTAACCTGGCATAAGCCTGATCGATTCATGTAGTACAACTTCATTTATACATAATATCCATCCAGAAAGGCTCCCGTTTAAAAAAGGGAGGGACATTCAATATCTCTTCAAGCTGATTGGCTAAATCGCCAAGTTGTACCTGCCTCCCGTGTCCTGCTTTTAGAAAGAAATAGTGTGTTCAAGCTAAGACAAACTGAATAGTGGAGTCTATGGGTACTGTAGGTCCATGGAGCAGCCATGTTGTTTTGCTTAAGCCTGCCATGTTCAGTTAACGTCATACAGGTCACTGCATTGATTCAAAACATTTCTGTATCGAGGTTAATGCATCTATTGACTTCTGGCAAGATGTATTTACAGGGTTTGTGGATTCACAAATTGGGTACAAATTGAATCTAAATCCTGATGGAGGTACTGTATGTGTTATCATATTTTTTGAATGATAACACATATATATATGATACACTTGTAACCTTTAAACTGGGCTTCATGTCTGTCTCTGCCACTCTTCCAGAAAGGTCAGATTGCAGAGTGCACATCTAACACTTGATTTGTCAGCAGCTTCTTCCACCGAACTTACAGATCTCTGCAGCTCCTGCAGAGGTTCCACACGCCTCATCGCTGCCTCTCAGATTAATGCTTTCATCGCCCGACCTTTGAATTAAGATTAAGGGTTTTTCTATTTCCAAAGTTGTACTATTAACAGAAAACACAGAGGTTTAAACACAAATTCCACAGTTTCTAGGTAGCTTTTTGTTCTTTTAAGGTTGAAATTTTCATACGTTTCCTTTTCTTTTATAGCTATTTGCTCATTTTTGTTGGTCCCTCAAAATACATTAAAGCTTGTTGCTATGTGAAAAAGCTCATGGGGTACTAATACTCTGGCAGGGCAGTTGGCAGCATGTGTTTTTTATTGAGTAAGAGGAAAGATGTAAGTCTGTTTGAAGTTAGCACAGTGCAGGTGAGGTCATTTTTCCACTTGCAAGATGAGGGCTTGGGTGTGTTTTAGCTGCTCACATCTGGCTGGCTGTAAATATGAAACAGACTCATATTATGGTTATACTTAATCTTCAATCTGTCTGTCACAGTGTGTACTGTTTAGCTGTGTCAGTTTTAAATTAAGTCTAGTCTGCTAATGGGTGGGTTTTACTCTTTAACTAGTTACCAGTAAAGGATTTACACGGTTGATTTGTTCATGCTTGACAGCGTCCGGAAGAAGGCGAAGAAAACAACATGATTAGTTCTGAAGGGAATGAGATGACTTAACTTTCCCACTTTGATCTTTTCCGCAGTCTCCTCAGCGGGTGCCAGATCCAGGACCCCCATCGGGTCCTTACCCTCCTCACAGCCTGCACAGACTCCCCCAGTGCCCTCCAGTTCACCTCAGCCACCCTGTCCCTCTATCTCTCACGCTGTCCCTCACCCCTGGGCCCAGACAGCAGAGACCCCGAGCACCCCCGCCCCACCGGACCCCTCTGCCTCATTCCCACGTGGCACCCAGGGGGGCGTCGTTTCACAGCACATCACACCATAACTCTTGCAGGATGGTCATGGTGAGTGAATTTCCTGCTTGCTCAGTTGGAAATCTTTTTTAACTGTGATGTTAGTGCAATTTACTTGTTGCATCTGGAGTGCTTTTACCCCTGTAACACCAGCCCAGGAAAAGATGTTGTTGATCACATTTCAGGTGTTGGTGAAGGTGTTTTGATGCCAGTTGTTTTCATGATGCTTTTCTATCCTATAAAAGTAGCAGCTTGTTGACAGCTATGTGAAGCCTAACAGAAATAACAAAGTTAGGCCAGAAGCTCGCACCATCTGAGCACAACACCGATCCCGCAACAGGGGGTAGTAGACCTGCTGCCACAGCCATTCCAATGAGTTTACTTATAGCTTTACCGGCTGGAACAAGAAGGTGGAGATCCTCTCTTAGTCGACGATTAGAAAAAAACTCAAACTACCTACTTAGAAGTAATTTGTAAAAGTATTCATGTCCATTAAATGTCAAAGCATGTTGTTCTGATCTTTTTTGATAAATCATTATAAGGACAATAATTGGCAAAAATATGTTTTTCTCAAAAGTAATCTAAGATTAATGGTATGCACATTTTATCTTTGGTTCAAGCCTCTATCAGCTTTGTTTTTACCAATTTTCCTTTGCAAAGTAGCTGAAGTTCAGCTTGGATGGCTGATCTTAATGTGATTTAGATCTGGAACCTTCTAATAATTGGGATGTTATGATGTCAACCATTCCCTTCTAACTCTGGCTGTTGCTTTCGCATAGCACGATGCCACAGACATTTATAACAATGGTACGGAGTTTGTTCATTCTCATTAGAAAAAAATGATATGTTCATGTCTTGGGGGTTTCTCTCAACCATGGCTTTCTCCTTCCCTCTCTTTTGATTCAGTTTTTAAATTCATTTCACCTTATTTACACTAATTCATAATCCCTGTTGTATCAAGGAATTTTTTTCTGAAAAAAGGCCAGATTGGAAGAGTATGTGCCTTCTCTCCATTAGATAAATGTAAATGGTTTCACAAGGTTTTATTTAGGGGTACCAGGACAAAGGGGACTGAAGTCAAATTTTTTTCTGTTTTAAAAACAAAACATGAAAAGCATTCAGTTTTATTATAGTCTGTCACACACAGACTCATGAAATAGGTGATATTGTGACAAAACCTGATGATGACCGAGTCATGTGAGCGCTTTCAAAAGGCACTGAACTCTGCAACTTCTTCATTATGTTTGAAGGTGCTACTCCTTGTTTTTAGGATCTAATGTGAAAAATAAATGTAGGTCTTTGTTCACTTGATTTAAACCGCAGTAAGTGTCTGAGCTAAAGTCAATTGTTTTATTTTGTCAGTTTACTGGAAGAAAAAGAAAATCAGCATTAACATAGTCATTATTGTCCCAGAAGATAATTAGCTCTGCTCTTCTTAAATTAGAGAAACATATGTTTTTTGATCATTTGCATTTACAGGCTTAAGGCTCAGCTCCAAGGAGTGAGCCAAGGGAAAAAAAAGGCATATTTTTTTCTTCTGCTATTTTGCTCACATACTTCAGGTCTCAGGAGAATTGGAGAGAAGTGACAGGTTTGTTTTGTGAATGTTTTTGTGCTTTTATAGGCATTTTCTTCATTTCTCATTATTGCATTTACAAATAGAAGCTCCACATACCGGTTTTGAAATGTTTATTTTTTTTTTTTCACAAACTCACAAATTTTCTATTTATTAAGACTCTGCCACTTGAAAGTGAATAACCTGATGTAAGTTACGATTTGTTCAAACATTCAGCTCTCTCCTCTATTGGTAACATTGGAAATGATTTGTAAAAAGACTTAAAGTAAATATATCTTTTATTTTGGCAGAATAATTTGAGATTTAAAGCCTGCAATTGTCCAAATGTTTTCTTTTTTTTCTTTTTCTATTTACTCCTACCGGAATATACAGACAAGTTTAGGTGGGTATTTAAAAATCTACTCAGAAGTTTTAATTATTTTCTGCCATTTCCCAGACAATATGAGGAATGAGACACGTCTCTCCATTATGTTTAATAAAAAGGATGAAACCATTAATTATCAAACATAGTTTTTTGTTGTTTTTTAAACCTTAATAGGAAACAGAAGTTTCCACAACCTGAATATTTTCCCCAATGCTGCACACACAAGGTCAGTGAAATAAATGCATCATTAGGAAATGCTGGGGAAACTTTTCACCCACCACCTTGAATGTGACATTCTTCAGTCCAACTCGATTATTAAAAATACAAGGCCTAGTTGGTCTGCCTCTTTTTACAGCTCAGCATATAAAAGCAAAGAAATCTGAAGTGTCTTCGTACCCCTCCTTACTTTAGCATCATTGAATCACTTTAGGTTGATCTTAGATGGATATTTCATAAAATACTGACTAAGAATTCACAGGAATGGTTGACATTACTCCCACTAAACTTTTGAAACTGTTGATAAAGGCTAAATCCCCAGTTATTGTCTTACTTTAAGGGATTTTTTGTGTTTCATATTTTAAACAATGAATAATAGATTAGGGCATTGAAGAAGTGACTAGCACTGTTGCAGCAATAAGGTTCTGGGTTCGATCCCTGGCCCAGGGTCTTTCTGCATGGAATTTGCAGGTTCTCTCAATCCATGTGCGTGTTCTCTCCGGGTACTCCGTCTTCTTCCCACAGCTCATAAACACAACTGTTAGGTTAATTGGTGCCATGCCCACTGTGACTCTGACAGGACTAAGCAGGAGAAGATGGATATTTTTACCCTATTTTCAATAAATTTAAAAGGAGTAAAGTAAAATAGGTGTTTCATTTATTTGTATTACAGTAATTAGTTTTTTTTAGGGATGGCTCAGGCCAAAACTAAATGAATAAATGAAGGCTAACTAAATTGAAGGATGGTTTTTAACATTATCAGTGGAAAATGTACCTACTGTAGTAAAATACATTTTACTTTTTTGCACATCTGTTTCTCAAACCAGGAGATCCAATAAACAAAGTTAGCATTCAGTTTTCAATGTCAGCATTTAGTTTTACACCGCATCTTGATTTCCTCACACCTGTTCAGCAGGTGCCAAGCAGCCGTTCTTTGCCGGGGTTTCTCTTTCGGAAGTAGACCCCCCTCTGTCGCTCCATGTTGTTGTCAAAACCTGAAAGCGATTCCTTTTGGCAGCAGACGGTATCCCTGACAGTATCCTATGCAGCTGTTTGGCAGCTCCAACATGTTGACAGACGACATAAAACACAAGTGAAAGCTATCTGCTAAAGGCTCTAAGCTTTGCTTCCACACAGATTTGTGTTGTAGTTTGGGTTTGGTTGTGTTTTTGCTGAAGCTGCAGAAGCATTTAGTCAGTTGATAAAATGATCATTTTTTTTCACCTATAGGTATTTTGCTTGGTTGCTGTTTGATAAGGGTATTTGGAATATTTTTGTATGGAGCATAAGCTAGCTTTGTTTACAGAATGGCAGGATTTGCTGTGTTGAGTGTGAGGTGTCAGATTTTGTCTGAGGTGCCAAGAAGAAGACAAGTGGAAGCCTGCTGAGATTTAGAAAACAGCCCTTTGTCCTGACTTGAGTTTCTCCAAAGATAAACCAACATGATGCCTCTTCTCATCATATGTTGCCTGATAAATGTGCCAATGTGTCTGAATGAAAATGAGAAATGTAACATGTGCTGATCTGTTTATCATCAGTGCCCTCTGGTGGGTATTTTCAGCTATTACTTTTATCTGTCCTTAAACAGGAGCTGGAGAAGCCTAGTCCTCCACAAAAACCTCTTCCTGCCGACCCAAGGATCTCCCGGCTGGTGCGTAGTCCATCTGGTGTTCAGAGCAGCACGTTAGTCCGAGGCTCCTCTGCAGTTTGTGGCCCTGCGGCTGAAACTGGTGCCCCCAGAGCAGCACGCCCAGTTCCCCACCCCAAAAAGTGAGGATCATTCACACGTAATGGGAGTGAATGTCATGTTAACTTGGGACCTTTAATAACACATTTTAAGCCTCATTTTGCCAGGGTTGTGGGATTATACAGCAAAGAGCCTGGATTTGTAAATACAAGAAGATGACAGCTTTTGTTCTTTAAAAAAATAATCCTTCTCAAAGCACTTAATGGATTAATTAAGCAGAATTAAAAAAAACAGATGTGGAAATGTATTATTTTCAAAGTTAAGTCTGATGTAATTTGCCGCAAAGTCAATTTAACTTTCAACTCTCTAAAGGAAAAGATGCGCACAGTTCAGATAAGATGCACAATCCCTGCAGATTTAACCATTTAATCCTTATTAAACACATTAACATATTTTTAAAATCTTCAGGATGTTAAATAGCAAAAAACTACAGGTATATTTGTATCAATAAAGTATAAATTCTGCTAATATCACTTTACATCACATTTTAAAAGATTATTTGCAAGACTATTGGAAAACAAGTTACGCCTTTGCATTTTATGAAAATTGTTATTAAGTTAAAGAAGCTAAACACTGTCATCCTTATCTTAAAGTACTGGTCAGGATGTTTAGAAATAATCTAAGAACAAAGATAGCTGAAGGATGTCAGAAAATGCTACTAGTACTTTTTCAGTATGGTATTGATTCAAGTTTTACATCATTGTGAAATTAGAAAAATAAATTAGCCCACTACTTAAAAGTTGAAAGCTTCAAGATATCCTTAAGCCACTTTTCTTAGGGGGAGTGGCATGACCAGCTAGTCTGCTGCTAGTTTTACTCACATACCTGGAAGATGTCTAGTGCTACGACCACAGATGATCTCGCTCTCGAAATGGAATTGAATGATTCAGATTAGCTAGCCGAATGAATAGAAAGGGTAGACTCAAGTCCTGTGTGCGGATGACGTCATACACACTTCGCTTTGTTTTAAAAAAATATAAATATAAAAAATATAACCACGGATGTCTGGGGGACAGTGATTCGCCTACATGTTATGAATGCTGGCGTACCATAAAGAATAAATTATGAACAGTTTAGTTTGTGCCTTCAACTCGTTGCCCATAGGAAGACTTTACTTGGATTACAAAACCGAATATCTTCAGAACGGCTCCAAATGACACAAAACTAATATGGGTGAGTAGAACATGATGTAATAACGTAAAATCAAGGGCCCAATGTAAAAAAAAAAATCGGTGTTCCCCTTTAATGACACAGGCTCAAGATAAATATATATTACATATACATAAGTCCAAACATTTCTTTTTTTTTAAACTGGCAAAGAACAAAGAAGTGTCCCTTTTTTCATTCAAGGTGCAGTTTGCTAGTGGCCATTTAAACAAATATTAGGAGCACTGTATGTATGCAAAGCTCAAATCTCACACATCTCTTTTTCTTTTCTCCATCCCTAGGTTGAGTCCCAAGCATCCTCCGACGCTACCAAAGCCTTGCGTTATTGCCAACGTCAGATACAACAGCTGAGACTTTGACCAGAGGGGGCAGTGGTTTTTTGTAACGGAAACAAATTTTTAAAAATTGCACTATTAAAAACTCTGAGAAACACACATAAACAAATGGTGTAGGCACCTCTGAGTTTTCAACCTTGAGATTCGCCGGGTCCCTTTTGGTGCTCTGCCTCTGAATGGTGCTATGAGTCTGCGCTCAGGTAGATGTAAAGTATTTATAATTGTGTATTTATTGCCACCCAGTGCACTGTGCCAGACACTTTTACTACACCGGCACAAGTTTGACTCTTCTTTTTTTATTTCACTTTTTTATATATACACTGTTTTATTTTATTATTTTTTTTGTTTAAGTAGGAGAACATAAAAAAAAAATCTGAACCATCTACGTTTGCAGTGGCTTTTAAAAAGTAAGTTTTCATAACCTTTTAACTTTTTCATACTTTCTTACATTAATACCTGCAGTTTAATGGTATATTATGTAGTTGACCAAAACAAATCTGGGATCATTGTAATGGACACAGAAATTATGGTAAAGTTCATCACAGCATGTAGGGGACGATAAAACATTTCAAGGATAGGACAAAAATGTTTGTTTTTTTTATTCTGAGGTAGGACGGATTCTCTAACCAGTTTCACTGAGCTTGAGCTGCTTTGCAAAAGATCTGTAGATGTGCAAACCTGTTGGACATTGCCCAAAAGACCAGCAGCTATGTATTATTATATCAGTTTTCCTTCTACTTAACAGTTATGTTATACTTTGTGCTGATCTATCATTAAAAAAAACAATTAGGCATCCTAAACTTTTTAAGCAAATTAGCATTGAATGGACTTATGGATGTGAAAAAGTTAAAGGGTTATTGTTTTGAAAGACACTGTGGATGTGTTTCTGTAAAAGCGATACGAAAGGGAACTCACAACATTACGGTTTTATTCTCTAGACTACATGTAGAGCTTAAAATGAGTATTTTTGCAAAGACTGTTGATGCCTCTGAGGTTTTTTGAAGCAGAATGCTCCGTATTGCATCTTTGAGCCAATCTGGAAAGGCTTGAAACAACCATAGAATCCCAGAAAGTGGCGTTACGACCTCAGCTGTAAGAATAAGGAGGTTTTGTGTTGGCCTCTTTCTTCATCTTAATCACAAAAAGCTCTGACATGAGTTGAAATTAAAAACATGAATCTGTGAAACACGATGTCTGTGGGTGTTTTAAGAGTTTGACTCTATGCCTTCCTGCACAAATGACTGATCCAGCCATGGAATGGCTAAAGACTTTGCTCACTTGTAAACCGCAGCTGTTCTGCTGCAGCTTTCATTAAAATGCTGTTTTTACTCTGACAATGAAAAGATGGTTTCACTTTAAAGCAATGCTGTGCAACTTTTGGCCAAAGTATACCAGATGATTTTTTATGTAAGTATTCGGCACTTGGCGCGTATTGATGCTTTGCACGAGCTGCCCTTCTCTACGACTTGTCTATGTAACTGGAAAGGGTTAAAAGCATCACTGAATTAGTCATGTGACCCAGAGTGCCACTTATGATTGGTTCTCTTATGTAGGATTTGATCTAAAGGACTGAATTGTAATAAAAGTGGTCTTTTATGAGATTTAAAGCACGGATCGAGACTGGCTAGTTTTATGACATTGCAGTGCCACCAGTGCCCTTCAGGGGGAGCTATCCTCGATGTTACAGGCTAAGTGGCCCCTGTTAGCTAAAAGTTACAGTGTTGCTTTGAAAGGTCAATGTTTGTCGTGTGAATCCATCTGTTTTTTTTTTTGTTTTTTTTTTTTGTTTTTTTTAAGGTTTGCTTTTTATTTCAGATAAATTTTTGTAAAAAAAAAACAACATTCGCAATGTTTTATCATTCTGACTAAACAAATTGTTCACTTAGCAGTTCAGTTTGTTCTGGTAGAAGATAATTCACATGCATATTGGTTTTATTTTCAGTGCAATTTTATTTTTACTCTGCATTCATTCGCCTTTACGTTTCTCTGTGCTCATGTTCTAAATACTGTTGTAACATCTCTGTATGTTATCGATGTATATTTGTCGTGTTACTAGTGAAAACATTTTCACAATGTTTTTTTTACTAATAACCGTTTGATACCTTAAATGTAAAGAAATGCTAAAGTGTCATTCACCAATTTCAAACACGGGCAGCATCAGTAAAGCTGATTTAATAAAGAGGAAATTGTGTTCTTTTGTTATTTTTTCACATTTAGTCACATTTATTGGTCATATGTAAATGTTAAGAGCCTAAAGCATGGTTCCCACAGTCTGGAACTTTCTGAAGTATATTCTGGACCTGAAGAAGCATCGAAAAATGTTTGTATTTCCAGACTTTATTGCCTATTTTTGTTTAAGTAAAATAGGAATCAGGAATATTGCTGTTGTTAGACTATAGGAGGGTATGAAGTTTCACCTCTTCATATCCCTTTCAGGCATAACACATTATATGTGACATTAATTATATTTTTTTTATTTTTTCTGGTTTGTCTTAAAGTTAATTCATTCATTCATGTCCCATAATCTAAAAGTTGACCTTCCTGTCATTCTTCATTGGGTTCTTTTCTCTTTCTTCCTCTGTTTTTCCTTTCTTAAATAGTTTTTCTTCCCCTTTTCCACCCTTTTTTCAGCTTTTTTATTTTCTTTATACAGTCACTAGTACAGAGCAACAAAATTAACTGCATTTAACCCATCCCCTGGGGGAGCAGTGGGCTGCCATTGTGCAGCGCCCGGGGAGCAGTGTGGGGTTAAGGATCTTGCTCAGGGACCCAGAGTGACAGTCTGTGGGAGTGGGGCTGGAACTCAGAACCTCTTGATTCAGAGCTCTATGTCCTAACCACCATGCTGCCACTCCCCCCTTACTTCCTTTTACCCTTCCTTATATTCCTTCCTTTCTTTCCCTCATTCCATATCTTCCTTTGTGTCCCTCTTTTCTTTCATCTTTGTCCTTGTTTACCATCTGCTTTTTCTTTCTTGATCTATTCTTGAGAAAAGTTGAGTCTTAAATGCTATGTGGAATGGTGAGAACATCAGCTCTTGGGGGACCTTGTAAATAACTCTGAATGCATGAACATTACACTGGTAAAATGCTTACCAATATATAGTTAGACATATATCTAATATAGTTAGACATCGTTGGCAAGCTTAGATTCTCCACAATACAAAAAACAAGTTAATTCTATGGACATAGCGAACACCAAAGCACAATTAGCACGGATATAGCAACATGTCGAAAATGTACCATAACAAAGTAGACAAAACGAACAAGCATGTCTCCATTACTGATGTTCAAAAAAGACCTATTATATTCCAGAAGAAAAAAACAACGTTGAATTATGTTTGAACTTATGCAGCTTTGGCTTGATGCAGCTTGAGTGTTTTACTCACCCAGTTTTCATGTATATATTCAGAATTTAGAAGGTGACAGCTTTCAAATAATGTATCACATGTGTAATTTGGGCTTACAGCTCCTAAGTTATTTGCTTTTCCATTTGGGTATGCAAAATAGGCGAGAATTTCCCAAAATGAGGTGGATGTTCAGCCTCTCCAAACCCCCCAAGTATAAACTCTTAAGATAGATACCTGCACTGATTTTTGTTTTCATAAAACAAACTAGAGACCAAGCTTCACACTGAACCTGCATTAACTTTGATTCTGTGGCTCTTTGTCATTCCTCCAGTCCCTTGAACTTGATTTTTTAAATAAGATGCAAAGTTCATTTTTTTTTTAGATTTTTTTTGGACATTTAATAAACTTCTATGTTTCTTTTATTCTTTCACTTCTGACATCGTGTCTGGTTCAGGAATGGCCTACAACTCATATAATTTAACAGTTATATCACAATGATATCATCTGCGCTGTTATTTCTGAAGCATTCGAACAATTATATGACACTATTTCCTTCTATCAATTTTACATTCTGAAGTTGGGTACAGCTCAGCTTATTTATGTACAACCTGTTTGAGATTAACTTTTTGTCGGAGGGTGTCAATGGATGCCTGCTGGACAACTATCAAGTCAGCAGTCCTTCTTATAATTGTGCACCCCATGGCATGGGTATGATATAACAAGTTAGATTAAAATTCATGCTGTTTTACAGGTCTGAAAATTGCAACCGAGACAGAACTGGTGGGGGGGATCTTCATTGTGCATTCTCTCATTTTCTTCCACGTGTGTATTGGAATGAAGTGGTGGAGATTATGACACAGGCCCAAGCTGGGATAACTGAGTTGTCACTATGGAGGAGGTCACACGTGGGAGGTCACGTTGGGGCCAGTTTGTGCACCGGTGTGCAGACGGCTCAGAAAGTTACCAAGCGAGCAACTTCACAGGCACAACTTTAAGGCCACTGATGCCACCATTCAACCCCTACTTCGTCCTAATAACATAAAAGTGTGATGTCAATTGAAAGTTACTCGCCAGAGGCAGAAATATTCACTGACAGTGGAGGAGAAGATCCAGCTTCTGATTTTGGAGATGATTTGGAGTTGAATCATTTTGATGGGCTACCCTTTTCCTCTCGTTACTACAAGTTACTGGAAGAGAGGAAGACTCTTTCAGTGTGGAGGATCAGGAGTCAGTTTGAAGATGCTCTGCAAAACAACCAGTTGGTGATTGTATCTGGAGTTGCACAAACTGGCAGGAGTACGCAGGTGAGAAATTGAATGGGAACAGGCCTCTGCAGATATTACAGATTGATACCAAATATATATTTTTCTTCAAAAAGCAAAACAATCTGTGTTTTATTGTTCATTTATTGTTGGTTTTTTGCTCTTCTTTGACAATATGAAGTTGATTGTATGCTAACCATTTGAATAGAGAAGAATATGGAAAAAATTTGTGCATTCTTTTACTTCTGCTTTACCTCTTCTCCCACCTTTAAATGTTTCATATCATTACTAATTTTATCATCACAAAAAGACAGATGAGACTGGATAACACAAAATGCATTTATTGAATAACATCTATTAAGAGATGAAAGTAGCCAACTTGGTGTTATGTAGAAAACGTACACACTGGTTTAACCACCAGAACCGAACACATGTGGTAAAGGTCATATTGCGATATTGAAGAGTTTTTAGAGTGGAACAGTTATAAGGCAACAGCAAAGCATCCCCTTCACAATGAATCCAGACTTTGATTAGGCCACTTCAAAACATTTTTAAGCCCTCAGTGTTGCACTTGCTAGTTGCTTTAGATCATTATCCATCTATGTAGCCTTAATCTGAGATACTTTATAGTATTTTCTCTAACTATAGACTTTATAGTGGTCCAACAGGACTTTAGGAAATTTTCTATTTTTGTTATCTGTCCTCCAAATGTTTTTAAAAGTTCTGGGGATTATCCGGATCTCTCTGGTTAT